CCGAAATGCTCCGTCGCGTACACGAAGAAAGGCAGCAACTGCAAACAACGTGATTTAGGTACCATGCTACCCTGGGGAAGCCGACGAGTTGGAAAAGGCCTTCGCCGCGCTGAGATTGCGGGAGGTGCTCCTGCCAAATCTAATCAACCGCGACAAGTAATGGACGTCCCCTTTCTTCCATCAACTTCCGGTACGGGAAAAGCACCGTAATCGAATGGTCCTGATCAGCCCGCGAGGTCTCGAAGTCAGCAAAGTGGCACTCATGGGCTTCGAGAATTCGCCGCCCTTCGCGCAATGCTTCATGAATCGAAGACTGCACCCATTAAGTCAAGGACGCACGAGTGATCTCCCACATCAGGAAGGCAGGGCAGCGATGGACGGCCCACTCCGGCTGGTTGCTGATACTTGAGCCCTGTTTTAGACCTGAGGAAGCTCTACCATTCACGATGAAGTTGAATCTCTGATCATCAGGGGAACCAACTCGGAGGCGGTTCAGTCCTGCGCAACAACGGGTGAATCAATTTTGCGAAGATGTAGTGACTTCGTTCACTATCAAGTACGATGTGCCCACCGTAAGGTGTGGCTTTGTCCTCCTATGCTGGGGGACCATAGTTGTATGGCGGGCGCTCAAGCGCCAGGCCGATTGGCTCTCCCAATGGGCCAAGGGGGAGGCGCCAACGGCGCGGTTCCCGACCTTTGTGCCGATGCTCGTGCTCCTCGGCAACCTCGCGCTCTACGTGAGGATGTTGGGGTTAAGGGTGGCCTGGGTCGCCCGGCGAACCGGCCGAGTACTTCCCGTCCTTGTGGCGGGAGTACAGTGGGTGGGGTAGGCGGCGGAGGAGACGTTGCTGGACGCCCAATGGGCGGTTAGGGTTTTGGCGTCGGCGGACAATGAGCTGCGGCGGTTGGAGGAGGGGCGGTTGGAGTAAGGATATTCTTTTATTGTTGCCAGGTGGTACTTCCCGTCCTTGTGGCGGGAGTACAATTGGTGGGGGAGGCGGCGGAGGAGACGCTATTGGAGGCCCAAATAGGGTATAAGGGTTTTGGCGTCGGCGGACGATGAGCTGCAGCGGTTGGAGGAGGGGCGACTAGAGGAGGGGCGGCTAGAGTGAGGATTTTCTTTTGTTGATCTTTCTTCCTTCATTTGTCTGTTTTGATATAATGCTGGGGGCATTGGCGGGTGGTGGTCCCGGTGGGTGACCGGGCACTGGCCTGGATAGAGAGAGGATATCGGCTGGGTGCGGTGGTGGACTGGTGGTTGTGGCGGGTAGTCCAGGAGGTGCGGCGGCTGCTTGAGAGGGGGCGGGAGGAGTGAGGATTTTCTTTTGATTTCTTTTTTTCATTTATTTGCCTGTTTTTATACAATGCCGAGAGCATTAGTGAGTGGTAGTCCCGGTCGCTGACCGGGTACTAGCCTGGGCGCAGCGGGAGTCCGAGGCCGCGGTGGAAGATATCGTCTATACGCGGTGGTGGTTATGGCGGGTAGCGCAGGAGGTGCGGCGGAGGCAGGAGGAGGCGGAGGTAGGAGGAGGCGGAGGCAGGAGGAGGCGGAGGAGGCGTAAGGATTTTCTATTGTTTTTCTTTTTTCCTTTATTTGTCAGTTTTTGTATGACCCCGGGGGACTGGCGTGGTTGGAACGGGCGGCTCAGGCGGCGGGGCGGGACGCCGCGTATGCCAGGTGGCGGTGGGGTTTGTTTGGGAAGACGCTACGTCTTCAACAGCAGGAGGAGCGGCGGCGAGTGGAGGAGATGGTGTGAGGATTGGCAACTCAACCACGAAATAAACAGGATGAACTGGCAGCGGGTTCGGGAGTCGGTCGTGAGTTTATCTGGGGCGAGGTGGCTTGCGTGGTGGACTTTAAAGAAAGAGAAAAGAGAAAAAGCCGAAAAGAAAATAACTAGAAAAGGGGAAGGAGAAAGTAACATAAAAATGGAAGGGAAAAGGGAAAATAGAAGAAGAAAGGAGAGAGAAAGAAAAGAGAGAGAAAGAAAAGAGAAAGAAAGGAAAGAGCAAGAAAGAAAAGAGAAAAGCAAAGAAGAAAGAAAATGTCTAAATGTTGATTAGTCGTTGGGACACTGGGACTTCGACCGGATGATGTTCGCACTACGTACAATCTGCGAGCAGGCCATTGAACACGCGGATAGGCAATACGACACGTCGGCCACAATCCAGCTGGGCAAGTGGCCGAACACGCCGCAAGGCGAAAGAGAGTTCAAGACCATCACCCCGAAGTCGTGCAACCTCCTTGAGCAACTTCGCGATCATCCTGCGATCATCCAGCGACTCGTCCGCTCTCAACATTCTGGCTCTTCACCCCCGAAACCCAAGCGACATGGCGGCTATGAGCGCATCAAACATCACCATACTTTGGCGTGCCCACCGCCGGGTGGGCAATTGTGCTCTTGTGGAAATCAAGGATGTCGGTGTCGAAATGCGGCGGAAGGGAGAAGTCGAGAACCGCAGTGACATACAGCTACACGGCACGGCAACCTGGCTAGGGAGCCAATGGATGAACGTTCCTCCAATGATGATCCGTAAGTCTCAAAGATCTCTCCCTTGTGCCCGCTGCTAACAGTGCTAACCCGCGGCAGAGCCGTCGAGAAAGCCAGTTGTATTCGTTGCGAAAAGGTCATTTCGCGAGAGACCCTGGCCGGTGCCTCGTACATGAAAATCGAAGAGTTCCTCATAGACATTGCACCCTTCATTTGTTCCAAGAGAAGTGAGTTCCGTGGGTCGCCGACTCTCCGCCATGACATCGCTGCTAACCCGCACAGATCCCACCACCAAATGGAAATTCATGTGTCTAGTGCACTGTCAACAAGAAAGTTGAGATGTTCACGCCCCCTCACCTCGTCGCTTACTCCATGCGTCTTCGCGAGGCCGTGCTCAATCTGGAGGCGGTCCACACTCCGAGGGTCGAAAGGGGGCCAAAGCTATCTCAGTTTCTCATCGGCCACGAACCCCAGGCTTGTGGTTTTGGCCCCTACAGCTCTCCTGTCAGCAACCGACACATCAAGTTCGGCTTCCAGGGCTATCATATCGTCCTGTACGACATGTCTTCGCAGGCAAGCTGGCTCGCGCTGGACAGAAAAGGGAACCGCCGTGGCGACTAGGGAAGGAGAATGAAAGAATGACAAGAAGAAAGAAAAAGAAGAAGGAAGAGGGGGGAAGGAGGAAGAAATTAGATGAAGAAGGAAGGAAAAGAAGAAGGGGGGTGAAAAGGAGATGAAGAAGAAAGAAAAAGATCCGTCAGGCGAACAAAGAAGACGGGCTGGAGTACGAGTACCCTGGGCATGCGGGCGCCAAAACGTGGGTCGAGGGCGATCGACCTCAAGATGGTTGAGCGCACGCTCAGCTTGGCTCTCGCCCGTATCCAAGTGTGAATAAGCGAAGCTACCTCTTCCGCTCTTGCCCGGCCACCTCTCTCGCTACAGTTGATGGTCAAGTGCCGTTTCCAGCATGGAACCACGATGTTCCGATTGTGATCCTGACGAAGTTCGACCGCCGGCGATGCAGACTCTACTGGAGAAGTGGAAGAGGAAGAGTCGCGTCCGGGAAAAGGGATTTTTCCGCTTGTATGCATGCGCGGCAATGAGTGGCTTGTCGACATTGCTGCTCGGCGAGCGACAGGACGCTATGTTGACGTGGACGTGTATACGGGCATTTGCAGAACCTCATCGCTGACTAGGGCTCAGTTCATCTACCGAAGTGTTTCTATCGGCAACTCCGACACAGTTGTCGGCTGTTACCAGATCTCCGCTGGTATACGCTGCCTCGCGAATAATGGACCATCATGCCAGCGGATTTAAGGATAGAAGTGAGAACTCAAACATCACAATGTTTACCACTCGCTCTCTCGCTCCTGAGGGATCTGTTTCGGACCTCGCTGGTCACAGGGCCAACAAGCGCCCTCTCACTGAAGCACTAGCCGCTGACACCGCCGGTGCTGTCACTGGAAGCCGAGATGGGCATCTCCTTCGCAAAGAACTGTGAGAGCTGAGAGATTTGCGAGAGCAAGGAGAGCAAGGAGAGCAGGCAGAGCAGGCAGAGCAGGCAGAGCGAGGAGAGCGAGGCGCTTACTTCGCCACCTACCTGTTAGGCAAACCGAAACGGGGCAAGATAAGTCGCCAACGAAGGCGACAGCCAGGAGGACTTGGACTCACTGGAACGAGACTAGCATCTCCTTCACAGAGCGACTGTGCAAACCGTGCAATCGTATCCCGCTCATCTTTCTCGGTGCCAAGCTATACGTGTGGTGGAGATGGCCGTGAAGTGTGCTCCTTTTTCGTTGCAGTCTCCGGGAGCGCTAGGAATGTGTGGTGGACTCAAAAGAACGCACCGGCCGCAGTTCCGATCCGGCGGCTTGCCGTCCGGGCGCTGCGCGCCAAATTCGCCGCCACCCTGGCCGAGATTTGGGCGCCGGGAAGGAGGACACTCCGAGACTGGGCTATTATGATATGTTAACTTGCCGCTTCAAATCATACGAGGTCAAGATGACTGTGCTTGTCAAACCTGATAACTAGCAACGGACATCATGGAGAATGGGGAGGAGCAGTTACTACTTGCTAGAGGTAGGTTGAATGATCACAAAAAGCCAAGCTGCTAGGCGTAAGCAACTGACTTGCAACAGTTCAGGTATCACCATTTGCCGCGACAGCACGACAAATCCCGCTTAGTATTACGTCACCAAGGATACGTTATTACTGGGACTCAGACAGCTTTTCATTCAGGATCCGGGTCTGAGGAGGGGCAATTTTGTAGATGTTGAGGCGTCGGTGCTAACTCAGTCTGCTGAGGCATTACAGGAGTACGCAGAGTCGTCCTGGGCTTTGATTGGGGGAGGAGGTTTTCCAATGTAGGATCAGTGTATTGTGCAGTTGGGTATGTACTTAGGCAAGGCACGTTCACAGGTTCAGGCTGAGCAAGAAGAACACGAGCTGTCTGTACGAGATAGGAGAAAAAGGAGACCGCCAAGAGCAAAAGAGTTGGTGTCGAAGATAGGGCTCAATCGGGGATCGAACCCGAGACCTCGCACATCTTCTGCCTGTTGTCAGGCGGTGGGTTATCAACCCGAAGCGCGAATCATACCACTAGACCATTGAGCCGAATCTATTGTTGAACGTTGCAACCAAAATTTTAGCATCTTATGCTGAAGTTCCAGAGCAATTCAATTGCGCATTTTGTCGCAAACATGAAGCAAACCTGTTGGGGATTGGGTGTAGAAGCAGTGAGTAAATTGAGAGAAATTGACCCAATCAAAGCCTGGTATAAGTGCAGCTATAGATGCGGAGTTTAGTTTTGACTCCGAAAAGTCGAGTCATGTTGGAAACCGACTCGAGAGAAGCCGGTTGGATTGACTGTAAGTTTTAAGATGCAACAGCCTGGTTCTTCCCTTTAAGAAAGAGCAGCTTAGACGACTAACACAGAGGTCCCACAACACTTTGGTAGCTCTGTAAGCATAGAAAAACAGTTTTGTAGAGTCAGATATGAATTAGAGACTCAAATATTTGATGGTTTTGTCTTGTCCCGCCAAGGTAACTCGAAGGCCAGCGCCGAGCAAGACGTACTTCAACCGATGCTCGTGACGCATTGACGTTCTGAACAGCAAACCAGTTCAAGCCAGCCCTTGCAGGCTGACATCACCTGAAGCACCTTCCCTAGAGCCCGCAGAGCTGGAAACAGCCTCAAATACCTATGCGTATGTATTCCAACGGCGAAATTCACCCTCGCCTAAGACCAACTTCAGTCTCCCAAACGGTCCCGACGTCTCAGTCCCGAAAGTTGAGAGTGGATCACGTGCTCTTTATGAGATCTCATAATTTCAGCAAATTCGGATATCGCACACGCGCAACTGGGCTGTTGGTCTAGTGGTATGATTCTCGCTTTGGGTTCCCTGATTGGATGAAACACAATTCTGCGAGAGGTCCCGGGTTCAATCCCCGGACAGCCCCTGAGTTCAGATGAATGTTAATTTTTCTATTCTCATCGCAATCGAGTCATAACTACCTTTTTGTTTTGATGTCGGGCGTACTGGACGGCTCGTGTTTGCATAGTCCCTCGTGTCGAGCTTACAACAGGACTTGCGACAGACGGCTTGTTATTCGACTTGTCCTTCTCTTCTGCTTTCAAAGTTGCAGAGGTATAGATTACAGCCATGATTACAGCCAGCCATGCTGTTACTGACAATAGCCAGCTATTATGCCCGGTTCATATCCTTCAGCCCAGAATACTCAGCCCATAGATCCCTTACTCCCCGCCAACAGTAGAATGCGATGTCCCAGGCCTGCTGCCCAGCTTCCTCAACTTACCCCCGGCCTTGGTGTTGAACAAGCTCCTGACCCTCCTCAGCCGCGACATCATATCCATATCCTTCTTCTTCCTCGCCTCCTCATAATCCACCCCCTCCTCCTGGACTCCACCGCCATCTCCCCTACCCTCCTCGTCTTCCACATCTCCCACCATTATCCTCGGCGCCCCCGCCACAGTAGTAGGCCGCGCACGCTCAGGCGTCTTCGGCTCACCGGTCGTCCCAGGGACGACGCCACTACTCTTACTCCTCCCATGTCCAGCTCCGCCATCATTATTCTTCCTCTTAGAACTACTACCACCGCTAACCTTCTCTCGAATCAGTGCTTCATTCTTCAGCCCCTGAACGAGCACCTCCCACGCGGGCAGTTCCCTCTCACCCTTGGCGAGGGGCCTCGCGAGGCCGGGGTTGCGCTGCGCGGCCGCGTTCTTCCACGGGCAGAAGAAGCGGTGCTCGCGCAGCGGGTCGAGGTGGTCCATGGGCGCCGGGACGAGGACCTCGTTGGTTGCGGGGTCGATCTCGCGTGATTTGAACATCCAGAGCCCTAGGCGTCGCAGGCAGGTGTGGCAGGACGCGCTGTTGGGCACGGGGTTGCCGAGGGTCGGGTGGGTCAGGGATTGCCAGCCTAGGAGGGCGAGGGCGAGGGCGGGGCGGTTGACCGGTGGCGGGGATGAGGTTGAGGGGGGATTCTGTGGGTTGGCTTTGTCTGGCGGTGGCGGCGGGTCGGTGAAGAAGGTTGGTGGGAGGTGGGAGATGACCGTGTCCAGGTCGAGGGTCGGTGGGAGACGCAGATTGAACTCGTATGGCAGGAAGGCAGCACGCTCGCAAAGTTCATCGTAGCGTTGGCGGAGGCCTTGGAGCGCGAGTTTGGGGTTGGGAAGGGGCAGACGAAGGAGCGATTCTATGCGGTAGTCAGTGCTTGAGTTACCATGTAAAGGACGGGAGAAAGGCCCACCGTCACACCCTTTCTTTCGCCAGAGACAGTCCTCCGCATGCGCCTCGACAATCAGCTCGACGTACTTGTCCACCACCGACTCGGCAATCTCGGATGCAATCAGCACCGCGATCTCCTTGCCGTCCACCTCTTTCCGGTTCACCTTGACAACCAGCTCCCGCCTGCAGAGCGTGCACTTCACGCGCTCCTTGCCGTGGCACACCCAGCCGCGCCTGGCCCACTCCACCTCGTTGACCCGGTCTGGTTTGGGCGCCCAGTCGGTTATCTCCTGGAAAGTTGCCAGCCGTCTGAGAAGCTGGTCGCGATCGCTTGGGCAGTACTTGGGTGGTGGGAGAAGGCCTTCCTTTCCGTCCGGCGCGGGGCTGCCGGACCCGGGCGTCCATTTCCGAAGCGTAATGTTTGACACAGAGGTCGTCGGCGGTACGGTACGTATGCTAGCTGGCGACGATCGCATTGGGCTTCCCTGTAGCGTGCCGTATTTTGTCGGTGTCGAGACCGGCCCGCCGACTCGGCGCTTCTTGTAGCTGTCGAGGCTGTTGTCGCTTGTCATTGTCGCTGGCGGATAGTGCGAGGAGAGCTGTGACGCTGGGGAAGATGCGGGATCGGCGAGGCTGCTGTCTCGCTCGGTCGGACTCCGGTTGCCGATGCCCTGGAGGAGCGCATTGAACTTGCGCTTCACAGTGGAATTCATGGCTAGGAGTTGCGTCGCGACTCGACTAGTGTATGCACTCTGCTGGGTGTACTGTGCTCCGCCTGCGCGAGTTTAGATGCGATGGGCAAGTAAGCAATGCCCAGTGCTGCTGGTAACCACAGTGATCGACCCCACTATTCTTCAAGTCTGATCGGCTTCAGCTGAGAGGTGTTTGAAAAAGAAACCAGCCTGCTTTCTGGGACACCAAGTGACAATGTTCTCTGGGCTTCACAAACCCAAAGCAATCATGTAGGCCCAACAAATAAATCGATAGACCTGTGTTGAAGCTGTTTGCTTGTTTATTAGACAGTGTGCGACTTCGTCCAATTTGGAGCTTGGGGCAACAGAAATGCTCTAATTTAGCGCCGTGGCAGAGCCCACACAGTGTGAATGCCATCTGCCTCTTAAAACCTCAACCTCCGTTCCATCTCTTTAACTGGCTTCAAGCTTGAAACGTCTCTTCACACTCTCGCATTTGTGGCAACTCCAGTCTGTAAAAAAAGAAAAAGCATAGCATCCACAATGAATGTATAAACATGCAGCATTAATATCCCTACATACTCCCAAACCAGGCATATAAAGCTACGGGTATCTATCAGTTCTGTGCAAGCATTCCTTTCATGCTACCCATCACAATGCCGTACCTAATCCCCTCCGCGTTGCGCCCAACGAAAGCAAAAAGACGCCTCAGTCAATCCTACGCTGCCTATACCCAACCCCCCTCATATTAGCCCTCAGCGCCAGCGAGCTCAACACCACACTGATACTGCTAAGCGCCATCGCCAGGCTGGCCCACACGGGATCCAGCCTGACATGATTCCCATGATCATCCGTGATGGGATAAAGCGCGCCCGCCGCGACAGGCAACGCCAAACAGTTGTACACCACCGCCCAGCCGAAATTGAACTTGATCCTCCGCAGCACGACCCGCGACAAGTCAAGCAGATCCACCACAGCCCGCAAGTCGCTCTTGACCAGCACGAAGTCCGCCGTGCTGATGGCCACGTCGGCGCCGCTGCCAATCGCGATGCCGACGTCGGCCGTCGCGAGCGCGGGGCTGTCGTTGATGCCGTCGCCCACCATCGCCACCGTCGCTCTCCGCGTCGCCGCCTCTTCGTTTCCTGCGTGGCCGGTGCGCGCTTTGAGGGTGGACTGGAGGTATTTGATCTTGTCTGCCTTACCCGTCGGCAGGACGCCGGCGATGACCTGGTCCGAGGGAATGCCCAGCCGTGAGGCGACGGCGGCCGCGGTGGTCGGGTTGTCACCTGAGAGCATCCAAACGCGGGTGCCGCGGGACTGGAGGGCGCGGACGATGCGCGGCGCTTCCGGGCGGATCGGGTCCGAGATGGAGAGCGCTGCTGCGAGGGTCCATGGGCTGGAGTCTTGTAGGGGCTTCGTGGCGACCAGGGCGACGGATTTGGCTTCGCTTTTCCAGCGTTGGAGGGTTTGGCTTGTTTCTAGAGGGATGGCGACGGAGAAGTCGGCCATGAAGGACTCGTTGCCGACGGCGAGCTTGAAGGATGAGGAGGGGGTGCTGCCGCGGGAGGTTGCTTTCATGCCCTTTCCGGGGACTTCTTGGAGGTTGTCGATGATGGCTTTTGAGGAGGTCTTGGTGTTGCAGAAGGAGACAATGGCTTTGGCGATCGGATGGCTGCTGTTCTCCTCGACCGCTTTCAGCGCCGCCAGGAGAGAGTCCTTTTGGGCGTCGTCTTCTGGGTAAATCTCCGAGTCGGTGATTTTTGGCTCTCCACCCACGGTCAAGGTCCCCGTCTTGTCGAACACGACACAGTCGATCCGACTGGCCTTCTCGAAAGCCTCGCCGCCGCCTTTGGCTAGAATGCCGTGCTTCGCGGCGAGGCCGCTGCCCACAAAGATGGCGGTCGGGGCTGCGAGAGCCAGGCCACAGGGACATGCCACAACGAAGACCGCGATCGCAAATTGCAGCGAAAATGCAACCCAACCGCCGGATGTGACGTCCAGGTAGTGCCCCGGGATGCGCCCGGCGAGTCCAAGAGAGAGCCAGATAATCCAGGTGAGGACAGCAATGAAAGTGACGACAGGGACAAAGTACGACGTCAGTAGATCGGCAACCTGCTCGATCGGGGCTCGCTTCGTCTGACCCTCACGGACCACGTTGACGATCTGGTCCAGAAGCGACGAACCAGCCGCCCCGGTGATCTTTACCAGAACAGAGGCGCCCTTGTTGACCGTGCCCGAGAATACCTCGTCCCCGGGCGCCTTCTTCACCGGCCGTGACTCGCCTGTCAGGCTGGACTCGTCGAACGTGCTTTCACCGTGGACAACCGCGCCATCAGCCGGGGGCGAAGCCCCGTGGGTGACACGCACGACGTCGCCAAAGTCGAGCAAGTCCGCCTTGGTGACGACATCCTCCTCCTTCTCAGAACCGTATGCTTCCACCAGGATCGCGGTCGTCGGGCGGAGCTTCCCCAGCGACTCTACGGCGTCGCCAGTCTTCGCCTTGCTGTAGCTCTCGATCAATCTCCCCAGCAACAGGAAGAAAGTCAAAAACACCACCGAATCGAAGTAAAAATTGGAGTTGTTGATCTCCTCCGGCTGGTGCGCCGCAGCAGCGATCATCTGACTGACCGAGGATATATACGCGATGGTGGTGCCGAACGACATGAGCGTGTTCATGCTACCGAAGCGGTAGAACCGCTGGAGGAAGGGGACTCTGCTCCCGGGGCGCCAGAGGGTTCTTATCTCCTTGAGGGCGCGGCGGTGGAACAGGTCGGCGGCGAAGAAGTAAACCGGCGTGGCCATGATGAAGAGGGCGACCTGCGCCCGGCTGATGCCTGATGTCCATGGCGACATAATGAAGTGCTTGGACTCGCTGTCCGGCAGCAGACTCATGTAGACGATGCCGATGGTGAAGGTGGGGATGCAGACAATGCCGGTGAAGAGGACGCGGGCGAGGATTTGCATCCGGTGTCTGCGCTGGATCTGCTTGGACCGTTCCTCAAGACTCGGAGGGTGGTAA